CCCTGCACTTGAAGCATCTTATGTTTTCCCAGACCATTACCACGTAGCTGGATAGGAAGTAGAGCAGTCAGAACTCGAACCAATGTCCATATGAGATGCTGGTTCTGCAGACTGATACTTCAACCCACTGGTCACAGCACCAGCCCCGACACTTTATTTTTTTAAAGGAAAAAAAAAAAAAATCCAGAAGTGAGATTAGGTCCAGTAGGGAAACAGTGGACACCTCCTTCCTGGGTTGCCACTCTGACTGGTGAGCTTGAGAACAGGACTGGGATGGGAATGGCTACACAGTGGCACCTGACAACACATATGTGGGCTGGACAGTGCGGTTGGGTGGGTTCAACTAGCCTTCATCCCCACTGACCTGTATCAGAGCTGAATGGGATGTGGGACAGACAGAACCAATCTGTTGTACATACTGCCAAGCACAGGAACCTGGGCAGGAGGTGGGCTTGGTGGGGGTCATTGTAGGTCACTCAGACTAGACTGCAGCTGCCACTGGTTTGTGTAAGGGCCAAGTGTGTGGTGGGCAGGATGGAGCTCGACTGCAACCCCCACTGGTTTGCACAGAAGACAGGGCTGGAGACAACTGACCCAGCAATTACAACACTGTGTGTGTAGGCCGATTTGGGTGACAGACTGTGTTGGACCCTGTATGGGATGCACACACAAGAATCAGGTCTAGGATCACTTCAGACACAGTTTCTTTGGGGGATCCCCCCAACTAAACTGCTGGACTCAGAACCCCAACCATGAAGAGAATTGCAGGTTCCATGGTCTGACAGTGGAGTGCATGTGTCAGAGCTGGGCGTCCTCAGTGGCTTAGAGCAGTGGACAGCTTATCCAGGTGCACATGGAGGATAAGGCAGGACACTGGAGCCTGCAGAGGACAAAAGAAATTGATCAACTACCCCAGCCAAGTGTTGGCAGTGAATACCTGGGCAAGTGGAGACTCTAAGCCAGAATATGTCAGTCAGCCAGTGGAGTCTGGAGAGATTTCCAAGATTGGCAGCAATTCAGAATTTTGTACTATCAAAACCCACTTGAGCAGGACCCTAGCAGCATACACCACATCTGGGACCTTGGGATGGTGGGTAGGCTGGATGTGGCTTCTCCTCTTATCTCTCCACCAGATACAGGAAGGAAAAAAAGAGAATGTCGAAACAATGGTCTCACCCACTTTCCTCCAGTCCTTGGCCCTTCACACCCTAAAATCAAATATGTGAAAATTATAAAAAAATAAAATTTATTCCATTTTTTTTAATTAAAAAATAAGACAGAGCCTGGCACTATGGCTTAGCAGCTAAATTTTCTCCTTGCACGCACTGGGATCCCTTATGATCCCCGGTTCATGTCTCAGCTGCTCCACTTCCTGTCCACATTTCTGCTTGTGGTCCGGGAAAGCAGTAGAGGACGGCCCAAAGGCTTGGGACCCTGCACCTGTATGGGAGACCCAGAAGAGGCTCCTGGTCTCAGATCAGCCCTTTTCTGACCATTGCATCTATTTGAGGAGCATATCAGCCAGCGGAAGATTTTTCTCTCTGTATTTGCTTTTCTCTGTAAATCTGACTTTTCAATAAAAAATGATCTTTGAAAAAATAAAAAATAATAATATGCTTTTTAAGTTTAACATTCTAGTCAAAGGCAATTTTTATTATTCTTAAATGAGTATAAGACCACAGTCTAGAACAGCTGTTCAAACCTTAAATCTTCATCACTCTCAAAGTTATTTTGAAAATAAGCTTATTGGGTTCTTTAGTTCCATAGGTTTGTAAAGTATGACCTGGAAATTCTTTTTTGTTTAAAAAATTATTTATTTTTATTGCAAAGTCAGATATACAGAGAGGAGAGACAGAGAGAGACCTTCTGTCCAATGATTCACTCCCCAAGTGAGCGCAATGCCTGGAGCTGAGACAATCTGAAGCCAGGAGCCCAGAGCCTCTTCTGGGTCTCCCATACGGGCACAAGGTCCCAAGGCTTTGGGCCATCCTCTACTGCTTTCCCAGGCCACAAGCAGGGAGCTGGACTGGAATGGAGCTGCTGGGATTAGAACCGGCGCCCATATGGGATCCTGGTGTGGGAAAGGTGAGGATTTTAGCTGCTTCCAGGTATATGATCTGGAAATTCTTAATGCTTGGCCAGACTTAGAACTATTTACATCATATTCACAATCAGAAAGCAGCCGATGTTAGTGGAAATGATTTGCTGCCGTTCAATTGCTGTGTATTTTTGCCACCAGTAGCTTTTACTGTCCTTTGATAGAGTTAATTTTAAGATCCGGGTGGGCTGGGACAACTTGTATTGGGGAATTTTACTGAACATGTTCTGTTGCGAAATTAATTGAATAAAATGAAGGCATTTTGGAACAGGAATCAATTGCAAGGTTCTTGTAAGGACTTATTCCAATATCCCACCCTGGACCCTGCGCCATTTCTTCTTCCTCACAGCTCACGGAATTCGCGCCAGTCCAGCCATCCACCAATCAGATGTAACCTGGCATTCCACCTGGGAATCCCACCCCCAATCTCCCAGCCCCTTCCCCAAACCCGCCTACTCACCAATCATCCCCAGGCATTCACCTGCAGGCACCAATCACCTGGGGCCTTGACTTCAATCTCTCCGAATCCCCGCCCCCCACACCTGGCAGACAAAAAAGGGCCCCAGGTGCGGCTCTTTCTCCTCTTCTTGGCCTCTTCTTCCTTTCTCTTTCCCTCTCTCCTCCTTCTGGCCTCCTTCCCCCCCCCCCTTCCTCTGTTCCTTCCCCGCTGGAATAAACTTCCCAAGATATGTTGTTGCATCTGGTGTTTTCTGCTCACAGTAAAGAACCAGGTTGCGGGAATTAGCTCCGCGTAAAGTATCGTAATATCGTATGAGCTAGAACTCGAACTGTTTTAAATAACTAACAGTTCTGTCCTTTCCAACTGTAGGCTTTTGCTTTAAGTTCTGCAAAAGCAAAGTGCAGCAAGTCTTCCCAGGAAGTAGTTGGGGATTTTGTTTCTTTTTAAACAATTGGTTCTACCGTGTAGTTTTCCTGCGGCCTGGCTTGGCTGGCAATTAAACACGGAACTTCTCATTGGGTGTTTTCGAGACTACAGCGGGGGAATCAGCTGCCAGTTTACTGCGCTGTGGAAAACTCTGTGAGATTCCGGAGTCAAAATGCTAATTTGAAAGGCCAAGTGAAGCTGCACCTCCCGTTCTGGCGTGCCTGCGCTCTCTGCAGGCTGAGCAGACAAAGAGCCAGGCGCAGACCCGCCGCCGTTCTGTTTTCCCCGAAATAATTCTGGAACAATGCCCGAAGTGCCGGAGGCCATGGAACAGGTAAGTGCGAGCAATGCAGAAAATGAAGACGTCGCAGTGAGAATTAACTTTAAAAAGCCTCCCCGCGAATACTTGGTACAAGCAGAGCGGGTGTGTAAAGAAAGAAAACCTTAGGACACAAAAGAACAAGCCAAGCGTAGTTTTGACCCAGGGCTCCCGGGGGCGCAGGGCTCAGGTAAGTCTCCGTGAATGCCGGCGAGAACGACAGCTCCATTTACCAAATTAAATGCAATGAGGGACTGGAAGGTTCTCTAGAAATGAGGATTCCAGATAGAGGGGGACTCCAGCCCTGTCTTTGTTTAAATTAGACATGCTCAGGTTACTTTCAGTTCCCGGGTAAGCTCTCTACACTTAGCCACCACAGGAAGTTGGATACTGTCTGCACAGGTGAGCTTTGATTCCCAGGAACCCTGACCTTGTTAAAAGAAAATAATTAAAAACCATATCCAAACATATGCCCCTAGAACCATACCCCATCTACATGGCAAGCCTCAAAGTGGGTTTTGAATCTCATTCAAGGCAAGGCTGTCTGAGAATCAAAATGATAATTATGTCACTAAATCTTATACGCTTGGAGTACCTTTGTTTTTTTTCCCTAAAAACAACTAAAAATAGAGTTCCCCAGTTTTTAAAGGAGGATTAATGAGATGTTGGGTCTGCCCCCTCACCCATCATTTCCCCATGCCCTTTCTTGTCTGCTGATTATAATGCTAAATCTATGATCATCAAAGACTTGATTTGAAATAAAATTAAAAAGCGGCTGCCTCAGGCTGTCTCCAGTCCAGTTCCAATGAAAATTTAAGCATTTACACGAAGAAGGAACTGAATTCTCCCTGGATGGGATGGGGAACAAGGAAAAGTCAAGCTCTGACGTAGTATAAAAAAGTCGACCCCATTTTTGGTTTATGATGCGGGGATGAGGAACCCGAGGCCTGCTTAGCAAAATTCCAGTGGTAATCCTTTGGTGGGCGACGTTTCAAACTCGTTATCCTGGGATCTACACCAGAGCAAGGCAGCCCTTGGGGAACCTGCAGAGTCTTCGGGATCAGAGTCGCGGGCACCCCGGGTACTTGTGGCCCAATCGTTTGAGTGCTCTGGATCCCGACTTTCGATAGTATTTCCTTTGATTTGAGAAGCTGGCCCGGGCAGTGGAGGAACTGGGGCTGCAGTGAAATCCCCTAAAAACCCGTGGGGTGTCCCTGGCTCTGCTGCCTGTTCCCCTTCTAATCAAGACTAAACTCCAGAAGGCACCGAAGAGGTGCACAGATCGTTCATCGTCCACTCCCCAACACGTTTTTAAATTAATTAAAAGTGGTGTCACATTTTTGAAGTTTCACACGTGTTTTTTTTTAAAGACATTACAGAAGCGCAAATAAGTTCCTGACTCAGACAACACTTAATGTCTGATTTCTTTCAAAAGCCTAAAACTCGAATCCTAAAACTCTTGGGTTTCACCCTGTATTGACTTCTTAGGCTCTGCGTTAAGACTGAAAAAGTAAAACTAGGAGAATTACAAGCAAGGGCACGCAGGGGAGACACGCTTTAGGTCCGCGTCTTTGTTCCGTGTTATCACTTTAAGACTCGGCGCGTGGGCTGGGGCGCGTCCCGCGTGCGCCCGCCCCCTTTCGGTGACGCCTTCCGAGCGCGGCCAATCCGCGCGCGCGGCGGTGGCGGAGGAAGCCGGAAGTGGAGCGCGGGCGTCGGTTGGGGCCTAGCTGAGGCGGGCGGCGGCGCTCGGCTGTCGGGGAGGCGGCGGCCGCTCGGGCGGCGTCCTCAAGACGGCGGGCATGGTGGGGCGGCAGAAGGAGCTCTCCATTCACTTCGTGCCCGGGAGCTGCAGGCTGGTGGAGGTGAGGAGGCGGCGCGGCGGTGCGAGCTCCCCGCCGGGTGTGTTTACCTCGGCGGGTCTGTCGGCCGCTTCTCAAACCCGGAGGCAGTCTTGTTTTGTTGTGGGTCTGGCGGGAGGGAGGCAGCTCCTGGGAGAGGTCGGTGCCCGGGGGGGATGCGCTTGGGTTGGCACCCCACTGCGAGAGGCCGAGAGGTGGGAGTGGGAGGAAGCCGTGTCTGAGCGTGCGGGGCATCAGAACCGGGGGTCGGGGGAGACCCTGTTAAGCTATGGGGTGGACGTCCCGCACCCGTGTCACCTGCGTGCAAGGCTGGACCAGCCCTGGTCGGGGTCCACCCCTGTGCGTCTTGTGGACTGGAGGGCGTTGATTTTTATAACGCGTTTTTTTTTATGCTTTCAGAAAGTTAGTGGATTTAGTGTGTTTAAATCGTCTTGGGTCTTGGAGGATAGATGAGTGCTGCACGCAGTTCCAGTTCATGTTGTTGATGTAAATGCCTGGTTGTTGCTGAGAGAGAGAGAGAGAGAGATCGAGATCTACTTGTACAGGATTTCAGTAATGTGACAGTGGCTTTTAATGTTTTCTTTTGTTAAAAATCATAGAACTGAATTCTTGGGCACATTCTACTGAAAACCTGTGAAATGAAAACTCGCTGTTGAGAATGAGAACTCTTAGAATAACTGCTGGGGGAGGCATCCTGTGGTGGTACGTTACAGTATGGTGACAGAAGTTAAACCAGACCTACCTAGGTAGTTAAGGAGTCTGAAGGTTGATAAAAGTCCAGGTCTACCTCTGAGGGAATCAGTGTTGCAGGATCCATGAATGAAGTGTGAAACTTTGTTAGCTGTAAAAAGTGCTGAGGGCCGGGCACAACGGCTCAGTGGCTAAATCCTCATCTTGCAAGCCCTGTGATCCTATGTGGGTGCCCTGGCTGCTGCTCTTCCCATCCAGCTGCCAGCCTGTGTCCTGAGAAAGCAGTTGAGAACGGCCCAAAGACTTGGGAGCTTGCACCCACGTGGGAGACCCGGAAAAAGCTCTTGGCTTCCAATCAGCTCAGCTGCAGTGGTTGCAGCCACTTGGGGAGTGAACCAGCAGATGGAAGATCTTTCTGTTTCTCCTTCTCTATGTGAATCTGCCTTAACAATAAAAATAAGTAAACCTGAAAATATGCTACTAAAGTTAAACAATATCCCTTTCCAAGTGAGAGTGATATTTCATTCTTCTAGGACGTTTGTAAAACTTGACTGTAGCTCAGATAGGTAATAAACTGAATAATTTGAAAGTCAGAGCAGGAGAGAGACAACTGTCTTCGGTCCTTGGGGTTTATTGCCCCAATGGCAAGTTTATGCTGGGTCAGACCAGAGTCGGGAGCTTCGTCTGGGCTTCTCCAACGGGTGACAGGTGCCCGTACACTTGTACAGCCTTCCACTGCTTTGCCAGGGCATTAGCAGGGAGCTAGATTGAAAGTGGAGGATGTGAGATGGGAAGTGGTGTCCGTGTGGGATGCCGCCATCACCTGTTGCAGCTTTTACCTGCTAGCAGCACTGGCCCTACTGGAACGTTTTGATATGAATTAATCAGCTAAAGTGTAAATCACGGTCCCAGAAGGCTGTTGGATCGTTTAGACAGCGTTTCCCTACCATTGCCTTTAGGAGTACAGTGTCATGCCTAGCACGGTAAGAACCGCTCATTTACATATACAGCATTGTTCAGGAAAATTTTGGTACCTGCAAATCTGATTGCCTGAAGTGGGTGAATTCCGTATACCTAAGAGTTTCTACAAACAGAGGTAGGTATAGTTAAAGTACCTTAAACTTGTTGGACATATGTAATGTAGTAGAAAAGAGGAATGTTCAGGCAAACATTTTTAATGCTGTATTATACCTTGTGTGACCTAGACAGCTTTTTGTTCTGAGTCTGTTGAAATGCTTGCATATCCCCTGTGTTTTGAACGACCAAACCAAGTTTCAGAATGTTTGACCAAAGTGATTTTTAGAGGAATTGTTTCCTTGCTAGAGAATATGTAGAATTCAGCAAAACAGTGTACTTTAAAACGCTTTGGGTAGAATGCTGGTCAAATCGAAGCTGAAAAGTAGGAGGAAACATTTTTATTTTTGTTTGGCGTCTCTTAAAATGATGTATATTTCACAGCCACAGTGAACTTAAAATCAAAATGAAAAATGAAAAAGTTTTTGCTCATTTTTACTTGGATGACAAAAGGTGGCCTGAGGAAAAGTTGGTTAACTCACAAAGATGAAACTGTTTTCTCATCGTTTCCAGTCCCTTTATTGTAAGGATAGCATGGAATATGTTAGAATTATAAAACTTGAAATATGGAAGAGCATTGATCATCTTGTCTGCATACAACATTTACCAACAAGCTACTAGATCAAAAGGGGTGTTGTTTCTCAGTTCACTGTAGTGGTAGAGTAGTTAAAATTTTAGTATTTCAACAAGCCAAATTTAAGATCAGAGGATTGAAATAAATTTTATTGTGTTTGACCTTACTCCAGAAGCAAGAAAACTGAATATCTTGTTTTGGCTTCTCACTTCTGTGTTTTTATTGTGGACAAAATCTTTAACATCTAGACTTCAGATTCCTCACTTTAAAAATAACTGAGTGGAACAGCCTTAACAAGGCTATTCTTATCATGAAAAGTACAGATGTGTGTTTATATAACGCTTGGTAGTTTTCAAAGACAAGCTTGTGTAGTATCCTTTCCTTTTCAGTAAATCCTTGTACTTTAGCTCTCTGCTCCTTTAATAAACACATCACCAGCATTGTCTCATCTGACTGCTTAAGATTCTATTCTTGGGATATTGCATATGACTTCAGGGTGTAAGGATATAGAAATGGATTATGAACCAACAACTCCAGCAATTTTAACTGAAATGTATTTGTATTCCCAGCAGAACCTTTATCTTCTGGAAACTTAATGTTGGGGACCAGTGTGGTGCAGTGGGTTAAGCCACCAGTTGAGATGCCAGCGTACAGTCTGGGCGCCAGTGTGAGTCTGGGCTGCTCCACCTCTGACCCAGCTCCCTGCCATGTGCCTGGGAAAGCAGTGGGAGATGGCCAGAATACTTGAGGCTCTGCTACGCATGTGGAAGACAAAGATGGGGTCCTGGGGCACCTGGCTTTCGCTTGGCCCTTGGGGCCAATTTGAGTAGTGAATCAATTTATGGAAGGGCTCTGTCGTTTTCTCTGTATAATTCAAAAAGCGAAACAAAAACTTCAGTGTTGGAGGTAGGCAAACTGCCTACTGGTTAGTACTTCCTTTTTTTTTTTTTTTTTTTAATTTAGAAAAAGGTTAAGCATAAGTTTATCTTGGTGAAAAAAAGTTTGAAAACCAGGCATAATTTTTCACAATATGCATTTTCTATTGGTTCTTTCTGTAAGATGTAGTGGTGGCAAACATCATTACCAAAAATAAAATGAGAGAAAGACATACTTTACAGAGCCAATGATGTGTATGGATTGTAATTCACTGTTGAATTCACTTGGTGAATTTTTTTTTTTTAAGATTTACTTATGTTTATTGGAAAGGTGGATCTACAGAGAGGAAGATAGACAGAGGAAGATCTTCTGACCGATGGTTTACTCCCCAAGTGAGTGCAACAGCCGGTGCTGTGCTGATTGGAAGCCAGAGCCAGGAGCCTCCTCCGGGCCTCTCACATGGGCGCAGAGTCCCAAGGGCTTGGTCCATCCTCCATTGCTTTCCCAGGCCACAGGCAGGGAGCTGGATGGGAAGTGGAGCTGCCAGAATTAGAACTGGTGACCATATGGGATCCCAGAGCATGTAAGGCAAGGAGTTTAACCACTACGCTATCACGCCGGGCCCACTTGGTGAATTTCAAATGCTTAAACTTAACATTTCTTTTTAAGGGACAAAGGTATTATCCTTTCTAGAAAAGGAAATATTACACAATTTAAACTCTTTCCTAGATAGTGGTGGATGCTTAATTTCTGTAAGTAATTTTTCTTTGTTTTCAGTAGTCATACAGATCATTTTAAAATACTTAGTGTTTTTTACCCTCTCCTTCTCAGCTCTGCTTTAAATATTACATGTAGGTGAATTAGAGTTAACACAGGAAAGTTTATTACTTTGGTTAAATTTAGAAAACATGTTAGTGTGGTTAGAACCAGAATCATTTTTCCTTACCTAAATTCCTTTGAAATGCTGACTGATTCCCTTACTCAGATCTGTAAATACACGATAAATTGATATTTCAAAGAAAATATAAGATTAAAAGCTAAAGACTACAAATGTCAAGAAAAGATATTGGAAATATAACTGGAATACTTAAACCATAGAATAAGTTAAAACTGAAGTTGTGCTTTTTTTTTTTTTTTTAAGATTTATTTATTTTTATTGGGAAGGCAGATTTTACAGAGAGAAGGAGAGAGAGGGAGAAAGATCTTCTGTCTGCTGGCTCACTCCCCAAATGGCTGAGCCCATCCATAGTTAGGAGCTTCTTTCAGGTTCTCTCTTGCAGGTGCAGGGTCCTAAGGCATTGGATCATTCTCTGCAGCTTTCCCAGGCCAGAAGTGGGAGCTGGAAGGGAAGTGGAGCAGCTGGGACATGAACCGGTACCCGTGTAGGATGCTGGCTCTTGAAGGAGGATTGGCCAGTGAATCAACATGCAAGCCCCAGTTGTACATATTTAAATTGAATAGCATAACTGGTATTGTTTGACTGACATCGGTCATAAGAAACACTGTTTTCCATTATCCACATAGGAAATGCAATTCTAGCTATGCAGATCTTGGAGTGTCATCTTAAGGTTTTTTTTGGGGGGGGAGCACTAAGGTTAATAAAACTTAATGTATTTGCTGATACAGTTAAATTTTTAGAACTGGCCTTTAGATATTAAATATGCATCAAACTGCTTATGTTTGACAAATTCACCGAACAATGGTGAAAGCTTGATTTTCAAAGTAAACGATTCTTCTTTGCCCTACCTTTTAGGAGGAAGTTAATATCCCCAATAGGCGTGTTCTGGTCACTGGTGCCACTGGGCTTCTTGGCAGAGCTGTACACAAAGAATTTCAGCAGAATAACTGGCATGCCGTTGGCTGTGGTTTTCGAAGAGCAAGACCAAAATTTGAACAAGTTAATCTGTTGGATTCTGATGCAGTTCATCACATCATTCATGAGTTCCAGGTACAGTTTAGTCTGTTCCTTTTGTTATATACGAACTGTTTTAAGAATTGGTGCATTGGAGCAGAACATGTCTTAATTTCACGTACTTGAAAGCTTTAACCATTGAACACTTAACAATATGTAATATGCTCTCTGTTAATATGGCAAGGCGCATGTAATTAGATTGAGTTATATGTTGATAAAGATAAAAATATGAATTATACAAAGGTTTCTGGAGTGCCTTATCAGTACTATTATTTTTTATTTTTTTTTAAATGTAGTTTTGATGATAGATAGTTGGTTAGGATGATAAAGGTCAAGACTACAGGAAGGGGGTAAAATAACCATTTGCACATTCTCTCTCTTTTTTTTTTCCCCTCCATACCTGGGGGAAGTGACGGTGGCAAGCAGAGAAGCCACATCCAGCCTCCCAAAAGCCTCTGCACCCTGGGAGGGAGGACAGCCACCCACTGGATGACATAGTTCACCCTGGAGTCTCCGTTTGCCCAGATGTTCACTGCCAACACTTGGCTGGGGTAGTTGATCAATTTCTTTTGTTCTCTGTCCTCTCTTGTGGTACCAGGTGTCCTCTGCAGGCTCCAGTGTCCTGCCTTATCCTCCATGTGCACCTGGATAAGCTGTCCACTGCTCTAAGCCACTGAGGACGCCCAGCTCTGACACATGCACTCCACTGTCAGACCATGGAACCTGTAATTCTCTTCATGGTTGGGGTTCTGAGTCCAGCAGTTTAGTTGGGGGGATCCCCCAAAGAAACTGTGTCTGAAGTGATCCTAGACCTGATTCTTGTGTGTGCATCCCATACAGGGTCCAACACAGTTTGTCACCCAAATCGGCCTACACACACAGTGTTGTAATTGCTGGGTCAGTTGTCTCCAGCCCTGTCTTCTGTGCAAACCAGTGGGGGTTGCAGTTGAGCTCCATCCTGCCCACCACACACTTGGCCCTTACACAAACCAGTGGCAGCTGCAGTCTAGTCTGAGTGACCTACAATGACCCCCACCAAGCCCGCCTCCTGCCCAGGTTCCTGTGCTTGGCAGTATGTACAACAGATTGGTTCTGTCTGTCCCACATCCCATTCAGCTCTGATACAGGTCAGTGGGGATGAAGGCTAGTTGAACCCACCCAGCCGCACTGTCCAGCCCACATATGTGTTGTCAGGTGCCACTGTGTAGCCATTCCCATTCCAGTCCTGTTCTCAAGCTCACCAGTCAGAGTGGCAACCCAGGAAGGAGGTGTCCACTGTTTCCCTACTGGGCCCATTCCCACTCCCAGATCCTGCATTTTTCAGGTGGTTTGGAAGGTTAACTTGACAGAATTAGCCCTCCATGCCAACATTTGCTAGCTGATGCTGCGGCAAAGCCTAACCAACCCACATCCACTCTGGCTTATGCATGCACCAGTAGGAACAGTCAACCAACCCTGGCTTTTCCCTCATCCAGCTCACATGATGAGGCCAACAGGTGTTGTAACCCTTCCCAGCCTGGTCTGCCCCCATCCCAACTCACACTATCCAGTAGGAGTGAGGGTCCAGCAGGAGAGTCTTACACATCCCCTCTACTGGCTTCACCCTCACCCCCACTGAGTTCCATGTGTGTTGGTTGGGTGCTGTAGCCCAATCTAGCATGGCCCGCCTCACCTTGGCATTTGCCAGTGGGTGCTGTAGCCTCTCTGGGGCTGACCTTTCCTCAATTCCAGCTCATGCTGGTTGGGGTTATAGCCTAGTTCAGTCCGGCTGGTCCCTGGTCCCGGCCCTCATGTGAACTGGCATTTGTTGCAACTGAACCTGGCCTGAGCCACACTCCATTCTGGTGTTCAGATTTGCCAGCAGGTGATGTGAACTGGTCCTACCTGGTTCACTCTCAACCTGTGCCGGATGTACGCCAGTTCTCAAGAGCACCAGTGGGTGCTGGAGTCTAGCCCTGTCAGCGCACCCCCGAACCAGTCCTCAGTGCTGTTTGCTGTGAAAATGTTTTGCGTATGTTCTATGAAGTCTACAATATAAAGAATATATTATAATTTCTTTTTTTAGAATTTTTTTTATATTATCATTTCTCATTTAGAACTGAGAAAGCAGGCTTCTAGTGCTTTAAGTGAGTTGTCCGTGGCCACAGGAAGGTTATAGAAAAAACTAAGGTTTGTTCTTTGATCAAATCTAGAGAGCTTTATTTTGACTGTTGTTATGATTTGAAAGGCAGATTTACAGAGAGATGGACAGACAGACAGAAAGATCTATCCACTGTGTCATTCCTCAAATGACCGCAGCAACCAGAGCTGAGCGGGTCTGTGTCCTGGAGATTTTTACACATCTCACACTTGGGTTCAGGGTTCCAAGGACTTCAGCAGCCATCCTCCAATTGCTTTCCCAGGCTAGAAGCAGGGAGCTGGATGGGGCACAAACTGATGTCATTATGGGATGCCACTACGTGTAGGTGGAGGATTGGCCATTGTGCCGGGCTTCCGTATTCTTTCTCTAAGTGTAGTTCAGGGAACAGCTGCATGATAATCACTTGGGAAACTTGTTCTCAGGCCTCCCAAAGATTTGAGAAGATTTTAAAAAATGTATGTTTGAGAGAGTGAAAAGGAAACACAACAGAAAACTTTGATCAGTTGGTTCATTCCCCAAGTGCTAGGGACATCTTAGGTTGAGCTAGATGGAGTTGTGGAGCCCAGAACAGTCCAGGTTTCCATGTATGTGCAAGGCAGACCCACTGGAGCTGTCACTTGCTGCCTCACAAAACTGAAATTAAGGAGGCAGAGGTAAAACCCTGGCACTGGGACACGGAGTGTGGACTTCCCGGAGTGTGGACTTCCCTACGTGGGGCTTAACTGCAAGTCCAGACGCCTGTCACAAGTTTCTAGTAAATGCTACATTTTAAGAAGTGCCACAGGGTAACCATTTTCATGTTTTAAAACAACACTTCAGCTTCCCTAAATGGTGATTGAGAATGAGGAAACAGTCTGCTCATTACATTGCGGAGACCTTCCAGAATTTTAGTTCCTGTTGTTCCAGTTTTAGAGTATGTGCTGCCGAAGTCAGTACTAGTTCCTGTCTGTGAGAGTGAAATGCATTTTCCATTTGAAGGAACTGTTGTATTCTGTTTGGTGTCTGTCACTTTATATTGAAACCATCTCCTTACATATCTTTCCTACTAGACTATGAAATCCTTACTTTTCTGCAGTACCTGTGGTAGGTGGCATCCTGAATGCTCAAATGGGGAAGTGATTTTTATAGGTTGTTGATTTGCTTTAAATGATCAGGTAAGATGTAGACTTATCAGTTCAATTTAAAAATGAAGTGTTAAGCCTGAAACAGGTTTATTTATTTTGTTAATCCTGTGAAGAGTAGCTTTTCTCCCATCCAGATTAGGGAACAAAGTTAACTTTATTTTATAAACATAGTTGTTGGCATGTTTTTTTCCTTCTTATTTTGTCTAGGAAATACGAATTACTCTTTGCTTTTCAGGTATTATGTATGTATTTTAAGGTTGTTCATACATTGGGGAGTGGTGTTTAAAATAATATTGATTTATTCGTAGCCGAAGGAGTATTGATTTAATGAGCCTTGTCTCTGTGCACTGTAGAAAAGTTGTAATTCTGTGTTTTGTTCTAATTTCTATTAAAAACATACCTTGTTTAACTTCTAGCCTCATGTCATAGTGCACTGTGCAGCAGAGAGAAGACCAGATGTTGTAGAAAATGAGCCAGATGCTGCTTCGCAACTTAATGTGAATGCTTCTGGGAATTTAGCAAAGGAAGCAGGTAATAATTACTTTGTTAAGTCTTCATAAAATGTCAAATGATCACTTATTTCCTCAAGTTTAATGGATCATTTGTCAGATTTGCTTTTATGTTTCACAAAGCACAAATCATTGTAAATTCAACTGGATAGTAATGCCTTATAAAAATTTAATAAATTTGTCTCCTGTTTTTTCTGTTATTGTAGCTGCAGTTGGAGCATTTCTCATCTACATTAGCTCAGATTATGTATTTGATGGAACAAATCCACCTTATAGAGAGGAAGATATGCCAGCTCCCCTGAATCTTTATGGCAAAACAAAATTAGAAGGAGAAAAGGCTGTACTGGAGAATAATTTAGGTAAGACATAATTTCTTTAGCCACTTTTAGTTCATACATTTTTAATAAATTAATGACTGTACATCAGTAAAGAAAAAATACGGTGTAGTATAAGAATTTAGAGAATCCTTCAGGATAACTTCTGGATTTTCTCCACTGCCTTTATACACACATATATACACAACTTTGTAGAGAAAAGATCATATAGGACAAATTTATATCTTGAAAGATCAGAAGAGCATCATTTCTGTTAGATTGGGGTATTCTATGTATGGGTTTTTCCTTCATGTGTTTGTGTGCAAAGGGTACACATGTAAAATAGTTTTTAAAAGAAATTAAAAATTATAAAGAATTACAGTTCTCTGAAATGACAGATTGAGAGGTTTTCCAAATGTCAGTTCACGCTCCAAAGGGGTGCAGTATCTGGCATGGACCAGCTGAAGCTGAAGCCAGGGGCGTCTTCTGGGTCTACCGTGTGGTTGCAGTGGGCCAAGTTGGGCCATTCTCTGCTGCTTTTCCAGTCACGTTAGCAGGATTGGCAAATGCTGGTGCCATGGCAACTTCACCTGCTAAGCAGCAGTGCTGCCCACAAAAGGTAATTTTTAAGCTGATAGTTTTGTATGGCATGGCCGTTGGAAGCAAGAGGGTTCCCCACTCCTGCCCCAGACTGTATCGTGTCCTTCAAAAACTGTTGGACACCTTTTCTTGTTACTTGATTTTTTTTGTTTTTGGGGGAGTATAAATTAATCCTTAAATTACCCTTGACTGTATCCATATCTTAGTTTGCTGTTGTTCAGGTGTAGCAGAATAAGGGCGGTTGCACATTTGTAAAGAATGGAAATTGACTTTTCACAGTTTTAGAATTAGAAAGTTTAAGGTCAAGTTTCTAGCATCTGGTCGGTGCAGTCTGCATCCTCCAGAGGGAGTAATACTGGATCCCTACATAGCAGAAGAGCAGAAAAGGGGTGAGCCCCCATCAAGCCCCTTTATAAAGACAGGGATTCATTGAGTCAGAATCCTTACGATCCTAAAAGGCTCTACTTTACAGTTCCGTTGCATTGGGGATCAGAGTTTCAAAGTGAGTTGTTGAAGAGGCCAGAACATTCAAACCATGGGAACACTTACATCCTGTATTAAGTCCATTTTATCTTACAAGTAACTGAATACTGTGTAAAGACTAGGTAACTTTAAAGAAGTTTGTTTTGGGCCTGGCGCCATAACATAGTGGCTAAAGTCCTCGCCTTGAACACACCCGGATCCCATATGGATGCCAGTTCTAATCCCAGCAGTCCCACTTCCCATCCAGCTCCCTGCTTGTGGCCTGGGAAAGCAGTTGAGGAAGGCCCAAAGCCTTGGGACCCTGTACCAACATGGGGGACATGGGAAAGCTCCTGGCTCCTGGCTTCAGATCAGCTCAGTTTCGGCCATTGTGGCCACTTGGAGAGTCAGTCAACAGACTGAAGATCCTCTTCTCTGTCTCTCCTCCTCTCTGTATATCTGACTTTGCAGTACAAATAAAATAAATCTTTAAAAAGAAAAGTTCGTTTTGGCTCAGAGTTGGAGATCCAAGGTCAGGGCTGCTTCTAGTGAATAACACCTTCTGTTAGCAGAGCCCTGAGTTGGTACCTGATATCCCATAGCAAAGGCAGGCAGCTTGGTTGTGTCTGTGGTCTCTTAGAAAGCTGTCATTGCTCATTGAGGGGATTACTCTGATGACGTTATCTTGATTATCTCCCAAGGGCCCTATCTCTAATCACCATGTATAGGTTCAGTTTCCACCCTGAATCTCTCACTGCTGGGATTAAATTTAATCACACGAAGCTTTGTAGGGCTCACAGATCCTGTACAAACCATAGCAATTTGTTTACTAATTGATTTTAATATTCAAAGACTGGCTTTCAGTTAAAATGTTAGTTACCTAAAATCTGTAGTAACCCTCATCAAGTACCACCATAAAATCTAAAGACTTCAAAAATTTTAAATCAGCAATTACAATAGTGAGAGCAGTTAGCTCCACCAGTGATTAATTTTTGCCAAAATTTACTGAAGTCATTGATGGATTTCATTCATAGATTTTTTTTTTCTAAGATTTGTTTTACTTACTTGAAAAATCAGAGATAGATCTTCATTCACTGGTTCACTCCCAAATGGCTATAATGGCTAGAGCTGGGTCATGCAGAAGCCAGGAGCTTCTTCCAAGACTCCCACATGTGTGAAGTCTGCGTAAACATTGGGACATCCATTTTTACTTTCCCAGGCCATTAGCAGGGAGCTGAATCAGAAATGAAGCAGCCAGGACTTGGACTCATTGGCTATGTGGGATGCTGGCTTCACCAGCGTCGGCTTAATCCAGTATGCAGAAGTCGACCCCAACAAAAGATTGTTCTCTACGTTTGGTGCAGTTTTCAAACTTGGAAATTTGACATAAATTTGAGTACAACAGTGTAATACAGAATAATAAAGTCTAGTAGGAATTGTCCTACTTGCTCCAGAAATTTCCTGTATTGCATTTATTTTTTAATGAGCATTTAGTCAAGGCTTATTTGTATTTATTTGCCATGAGATATTTTGTTTTGTAATTATTCTGACAATAGAGAAATTAGATGCAATCTGAATGAAAAGACATTTAAAAATATACAGCATCATATTTATTAAATCAGTATTGAAGGTAAGCTATGTCAGTTACTTTTAATCATGTGCAAGGGGTCTCCTTAGATAGTGTTAAACTTTTCTGTTTTCAAACCTTAAGAACCAGTGAGCTTTGTTACCTACTTCTGTTCATCTCTAGGAGCTGCTGTCTTGAGGATTCCAATTTTATATGGTGAGGTTGAAAAGCTTGAAGAAAGTGCCGTGACTGTTATGTTCGATAAAGTGCAGTTCAGCAATAAGTCAGCCAATATGGACCACTGGCAGCAGAGGTTCCCCACACATGTCAAAGATGTAGCCACCGTATGCCGACAGCTGGCAGAAAAGAGAATGCTGGTAAGAGACTTTGGAAGAAGAAAGGTCGCTTGACTTCACTTTGCTGGCAGGCCTCTGTCTAGCCTACTTCCCCCTGCCCCACAGCGTAATTTAAATGTCATAGCTCAACTTGGGTTCTCAGCCAGTGAAAGTTGGAACTACTTTTATAAAACCCATAGAACAAACAAAAATTGTAGGCTATATTTATGTAAACTGAAAAATATTATGTTCTTCCATGGAAATTTATTCCTAACTTACTGTAGACACAATCATTTCTTTCATTGCAAAGTGAAAGAAATTCTATATTTTTTTTCTTATGACTAACAAAATAATCGCCTAATGTCTTTTGAGAAATTGATGCCAAGGAAGCATCAATTTGAATTTGAATTTGAATTAAACATTTGAAAAAATTGATTCTGGGCCTGGTAGCATGGCCTAGTGGCTAACATCCTCACCTTGAACGCGCCAGGATCCCATATGGCGCAGGTTCTAATCCCAGCAGCTCCACTTCCCAGCCAGCTCCCTGCTTGTGGCCTGGGAAAGCAGTTGAGGACGGCCCAAAGCCTTGGGACCCTGAAACCGTGTGGGGGACCTGGAAGAGGCTCCTGGCTCCTGGCTTTGGATCGGTGCAGCACTGGCCGTTGCGGCTCACTTGGGGAGTGAATCATCGGTCAGAAGATCTTCCTCTCTGTCTCTCCTCTTCTCTTTATATCTGACTTTGTAATAAAAATAAATAAATCTTTAAAAAAAAAAGTTGATTCTGAAGTGAAGGAGATTCAATTGGAGTATCAGTAATAGTATAACCCCTTTTAAAATTTATATCCAATATATGCTATGATAATATTTAATAATGTTTAGCTCACTTTAAAAATGGGTAGCATTTTGTTTTTAGTTGTATTAAATAATTAAAATCCTTCTTTACCTTGCCCTACGTTTCTATGAGAAATTCTGTTCGCCTCTAGGATTCTTACAAATTAAGCGAAATTGGGATATTTGGATTTACTTACTTGAGAAGGTCCTTAAGACTGAATGCTGGAGTTTGCCATCTGCAAGGTGGACTTTTGGCCTGTCTGAGACACCTGGGTCTACTACTTAAACAAATTAAACTACTTAAACAAATTTAAGTTTCTTGTGGAAAGCGTTCCGGAAAAGGAAGTTTGCATTTTACTTCCTAGAGCTTTTATTTATTTTTAAGGAGTGTTTATTTTTACTACAAAGTCAGATACACAGAGAGGAGGAGAGGCAGAGAAGAAGGTCCTCCATCCGATGATTCACTCCCCAAGTGACTGCAACAGCCAGTGCTGTGCCGATCCAAAGCCTGGAGCCAGGAACTTCCTCCAGGTCTCTCACGCGGGTGCAGAGTCCCAAGTCTTTGGGCTGTCCTCGACTGCTTTCCCAGGCCACAAGCAGGGAGCTGGATGGGAAGTGGAGCTGCCAGGATCAGAATGGCGCTCATATGGAATCCTGGCATGTCTTAAGGCTAGAACCTCAACTACTATGCCACCACTCCGGGCCCCTAGAACTTTTAAATGTGTTTCTTTTGCTAGCCCTCTGATTCTGCTCCTCAAATGGTTGAAACTATTTTGAGTTTTTATTTCATTATTCTCAGGATCCATCAATTAAAGGAACCTTTCACTGGTCTGGCAATGAGCAGATGACTAAGTATGAAATGGCGTGTGCGATTGCAGATGCCTTCAACCTCCCCAGCAGCCACTTAAGACCTGTGAGTACATGGCAGCTAGAATCCTCAGTCCAGCTCCGTCATGGCATTGTGTGTCACCGATGATGTTTTCTTGTGTTGGAGGTGTTGTTTAACCTGATTTCTGAGTACACATCAGAGTGAACTTTGTATTTGGAAGTGGGCAGTGTTCTTTTTTCTTTCTCAGTAATCTCTCAGAAAGCCCATGATTATTGATGAAATTTATAGAAGGAAAGTATGTGTTGATTGTGGTAGACGTCTTGTTTATATTTTTCTGTGACAGTTCAATTTGGATATCTTGCATGAAAAAGTGAAGTGGAGAGTATACAATTCTCAAGAATGTAAAACCTTCATTTATGTTGGATTGTGTTTGTTTTTCTTTTAAAGATTACTGACAGCCCCGTCTTAGGAGCACAACGTCCAAGAAACGCTCAGCTTGACTGCTCCAAATTGGAGACCTTGGGCATTGGACAGCGGACACCATTTCGAATTGGAATCAAAGAATCGCTTTGGCCTTTTCTCATTGACAAGAGATGGAGACAGACGGTTTTTCATTAGTTTCGGTGTTACATTTTTTTGTTGTTTTTATGTGGCACTTTGTAAAGAATAAAGGAAATAGTTTTGTATGAGTACTCTAATTGTGACTCGTAATGATCTTTCAGGTAAAAGATGCTCTTGCACTAGTGAAATTATCTAAAGAACCTGAAGGGCAGCGCTGCTGTGTCTGCAGGGATACCTGTCCTCTGCACCGTTGTATTCCGGCTTAACCTTCAGCTTTAGTGTCGTGAATTAGGAGAGCCAGGGCGAAACATCTGTAGACTTTTTTTTTTGACTTCAGTAAAATACATTCACTCCTGTAACCTACTTTGAGGTTTTCCATAACTGTTGACCTTATTCTGATAATTGTTTTAAAGTGTATAAAATAGTATGAGAATCATTGGTGTTCATTATTATTATTTTTGCTTGAGCTCAGATCAAAATGTTTGAAGAAAGAAACTTTATTTTTGCAACCTGAGTATGGTTTTTATGCTTGAGATATTTCGATGTGTAATGTATATCGGAACTACCACTCGATGCCTCCTGCTGTTGCAGCAGTGTATGATGAGCACATGGGAGAGTGTGTGTAAGTTTTAAATATAAATGTCTAACTTTCCTTTTCACTCCATGTTGCTAAGTAATACTTCATACATGTGATTATTCTAATGCTATTGGGCCATGTAAGTCCTTTGACATGAAATTTCATAAATAATAAATATGTACTGCTGGCATGTAATGCTTAGTTTTCTTGTATTTTCTTTTTTGAATGTAAGGACCAAATATCTATACTAACCTCCTGTTGGTTTAACTTTGCATTCTTATGTAACATCTAATGCATATAGAAGAATATAATTGATATATTGAGATACAGAATGCCACAATAAATGCAAACCTGTGAATCTCCCCCCAGCTCCCAGACTTGAGATGTAGAATATTATAGGTACTGTATCTGCTTGTGCCAACTGATTGCTTCTGATTGTAATGAAAATAAATATATAGTCTTGTTATATATTTACATACAATATTCCTGAAGAATGTGTAATACTTGAATGTGTTATTTACTCTGCAGTTTTCAGTGATATTAAGTCATTAGTAAGGAAGCCATGAAGGTAGAGTGGGTTGTTTGAAGCAGTGTTCTCAAACTGCATGCTTTAAAATTAATAGCTGATATTTTACTGATAGGAGTCCTACCCTAGGTCCACTAATGGATTGTGGGGTGGTGTTTTTGTTTTTTTAAGATTTTTTTTCTTGGAAAGTGAGATTTATAGAGAGAAGAAAGATCTTTCCACTGGTTTACTCCCCAAGTGGCCAAAATGGCCAGAGCTGGGCAGAGCCAAAACCAGGAGCCAGGGAGCCAGGAACTTCTTCCAGGTCTTGCACATGAATGCAGGTTGCCCTTAGGGCCATTCCTGACTGCTTTCCCAGGCCACAAGCAGGGAGCTGGCTGGGAAGTGGAGCTGCTGGGACATGAACTGGCACCTGTATGGAATCCCAGCCAGCCCACGCAAGGTGAGGACTTTGGCCACTAGGCTATCATGCCAGGCCCCACTGAAGAATTTATAGAAGTTGAACTCTGCTCATCTGTTTTGCTGCTAAATCACAAGATAATCCATTTATCTTTGATCTTGAGGGTGTAGACAGATTGATCCCATTTCTTGGTTCACTGTGTGACCATGCTGGGTAAAAGACAGAAACTGGGAACTCTATCCAGTCTCCTAACTAGTGTTTTAGTTTTTAATTTTGTTTTAACATTGCTCACATAGTTGAGAGGAATTCATGCCCGTGTGGGTCTCTGATTAGGGTGACAAAGGTTGGGTACTGAGGACGGTGGGTGGGACACATGTTGCAGTCTTTTTTTCTTTTTTCTTTGCTGTGTCCCCAGGGGATGAGGGGAGGAGGGATGCTCCTTGCTATCGTACCACATCAGCACCTGGGGCTGGGAGATGGTCTTTTGATGACACCTCAGTGATCCCAAAGTGGGAAAAAGTGTTGTGAGGGTGTTACTTGAATAGTTTCAGTAGCCCTGAGATGGTGTCATTGCTCCAGTGTTGAGAAAATCCTAAGTTACTGTCCAGCAAAGTCCACGTTAGTGTATTGTGCACCCCCACGCACAGGAACATACTGTAAAATTTGGCCAGGAGAATTATCCAACTTCTACTTTTTTATCCTCTGATGAGGTAGTTGGCGGGACTAACTATTTGAAGTATCACTGCTGTCAGCTAGGGTGGGCATTAGCAGGAAGCTGTAATCAGGACAGCTAGAATTACTCAAACATCCAGTAAGGAATGTGGGACACTGCTACCCCGAGTGCCTTCCTCCTTTGTCTTATTATGTGATTTTATTTAATTGTACATGTACATGTGTACATTATGTCATGTTTTGGAAATATATGCTCCTATTTTAACTGTTTACCAGGTACTTATAAATTAGTCAGCCTGCCATTTGTATTTGGTCACCAATAAATAAAAGCATTATCTTTCTTTTTCTTTTTAGTTAACATTCATATACAGCAGTAGAAAGAAGCTCTAGAGAATGAATAGCTTTGATTTCATTCTGTAGCCACTCTTGGTTTGTCTCAATCTACAATCATGTCATCTGCAAACAGGGATAATTAATTTATGTCATTTCTTATATGGTTTTTCCTTCTTTCTCTTGCCTAATTGCTCTGTACTGTAATAAGACTGGAGAGAGCAAACATTTCTTATTAGCTTCCAAATTTTAGAGGAAATACTTTCAGCTTTTGTCCAGTGGGTATCAATGTTGGCTGTGGGATTACTGTATATGGTCTTCATTATGTCACGGTGTATTCTTTCTACAGCTAAAAGTGTGATGGAATTTGAACATCGTAGTAGTTGCTACCACTCCTTCATATTTCTTTTGTAATATCTATTTGTAAGGCAGAGTTGAGGGGAAAGAGGGCGATCTTAACACTGGTTCACTCTGCAAGTGGCCTTAGTGGCCTGTGCTGGGTCAGGCCTAAGCTCAGGGACTTAAACCCTACTCTTGCCCCTGTGTAGATTTTGGAACCAAGCACGTGGTCTGTCTTGTGCTTTTGCTGGCACACCTTCGGGGACCTGATGTGGGGTGGCTGTTGGCAGTCTAACTGGTTATGCCACAGTGCTCGCTAAATCCTTTGTATTTCTGTGGTGTTAGTGGTGATACCTCATTTTTCTTTCCTGATTTGTAACTTGAGTGTTTTTAATTAATTAATTTAGAAAGACGGTTATAGAAATGGGAGACAGACCTTCCATCTGCTGATTCATTCTCCAAATGGCTACAAAGGCTAGAGCTGGACTGGTCCAAAACAAGGAGCCAGGGGCTTGTTCCAGGTCTCCCACATGCTTAGGTCTTCTCTGTTGCTTTCTCAGTCACATTATGAAGGAGCTAGATAAAGTGAAGCAGCTGGGTTTCAAACTGGTGCCCATATGGGATGCTGCTGCACAGGGAGAGGCTTAATTTGCTACACTTTTTCCGCTTAAGTATAGCCAAAGTTTAGATACGGATCAGCTTTTTGAAAACCAATTTTTCTTTCCTTTTTTTTAAGATTTATGTATTTTTATTGCAAAGTCAGATATACAAAGAGGTGGAGAGACAGAGGAAGATCTGCCATCCGATGATTCACTCACCAAAGTGATTGCAACGGCTGATGCTATGCAGATCTGAAGCCAGGAGCCAGGAACCTCCTCCGGGTCTCCCACGCAGGAGCAGAGTCCCAAGGCTTTGGGCTGTCCTCGACTGCTTTCCCAGGCCACAAGCGGGGAGCTGGATGGGAAGTGGAGCTGCCGGGATTAGAACCAGCACCCGTATGGGATCCCTGCGTGTTCAAGGTGAGGACTTAGGCCGCTAGGCCACCATGCTGGTCCCAAAAACTTTTCGTTTCATTCCTAGTATGGGTTCCTACTTGCCCCCCGTGACCACAAAAAAATGAATAAATAAATAAATATGAAAGAAAAGGAACTGTTAAATTCGTTTGAAAGCTGTTACAAAGAGAAAAAAGAACTCAATTTTTTGATTAACTGGTTCGCTCCTCAAATTGCTGCAGTGTCCTGGGCTAGGTGCGGAAGCAGGAGCCAGGCGCTTATATGTCTCCCACATGGGTGCTGAACTCCAAGTGTTTGAGCCATCCTTTGCTGCTTTCCGAGACACACGAGTAATGAGCTGGATCGGAAGTGGAACAGCTGGAACTTAAAACAGATGCTGATGTGTAATGCTGGCAGAACAGGCCACAATGCCTGAAGTACTTAGTTCTATAAACTTCTACTTAGTACCGTTTTTGATGTATGCTGAAAACTTTGATATGTAGTGCTTCTATTTCCATTGGCTTCAAATAATTTTTTATCTGTTTCAGTAACCTTCATTTCCAGTGATTGATTTTCCACACCCTTGGCACATGTGGCTGTTTTCTGTTTCTGATACTAGTCTTCCTTAATGGGATGACTTACTCCAGGTATCACAGCATCTAGAGCAGGGCAAGAACAGATAGCACTCTGGGTTACAATCATCTGGCATTTTCTTTTTTTTTTTTTTTCTTTTTTATTACATTGCATCATGTGACACAGTTTTATAGGCACTGGAATTCCCCCTTCCCCTCCCCAAAACCTGCTTCTCCCCCCACCCCCCATGGTGGATTCTTCCATCTTGTTGCATTACCACAGGTCAAATTCAGTTCAGGTTTTTTCCTTGCAAGCATCTACAAAGCATAGAGTCCAGCATCTTATTGTGCAGATAAGTTCAACAGTTTCATGGAGAGACAGTCTCTGGTCTGAAGGTACAGCCGAAAGAGTATCATCCCAATAAATTGAAAGCCCCGACATTACATCAGTAACAATTTATATCTTAATGGAATTAGTTGACATGGTATTGTGTAACCAGCATGTTCAAAGAGAGAGAGAAAACAACAACAACAAAAAAGAGTACAAGTTCTGAACCACATCCTATGACTTCTACATTGACATTACAATTATTATTTTATATACAGCTGGGTTCTATACAGCTTAAAATGGGTATAGATTACTATTCAGCTGTCTCATGTCTATTTTGATTTTAGTATTTAGCAGTTCATAGTGTTGAAGCATGATTTTGCAGAACCTGGCTGTTTTTTGGGTAGTCTAACTCTATAACTGTAACAAGACATATGTCAACAGTTTAGGTAAACGGTTTTAGGAGGGGTGTGCAGAGAAATCCCCAATACCCTAGTGAGGAGCAACCAATCTTCGTGTCCCACCCAGTGAGTTATAAGTGCATCCCCACTCATCTGGCATTTTCAAATTTAAAAATACAGGGTCTAACATTGTGTTGCAGTGAGTTAAGCCACTGCCTATACTATCCGTACCCTTGAGCTATCTTGTACTGCTCAGGCACGTTAGCAGGGAGCTGTGAGAAGTGAAGCATCAGAGAACTGGTGCTCATATGGGATGCTGGTGTCAATGGCACAATGCCAGCTCCTCAGTAACTTTTTGAGAAATCACCCATAATGTGTTTTAAAAAAAAAAAAAAAAAAAGCAAGTGGAGCACTCAGGCATAAAATTTAGCTGGGAGATCCTTTTTTGCCCAGAGTGTTTAAGGTGGCTTTGTTGGCTGTGTTGTCAATGGTGCTGTTGGGAAGACCAGCGCCGTGGTGTTCCGTTCACAGCTGGTCAGATGTCCTTGTTCTGCTGTGCTGGACTTTGCAGTGTTAGGCTTTACTGTTGGCACATTTTAACCTATTTCATTTTGCAGTTGTTATTCTTCCACATTTAAAAAGTTGCAATTGTCCTATTGTGATTGTAATAGGCTGCATAGTTACTCTCACCCACCAAGATGCCAGCATCTTTTGTGGACACCAGGTTGAATCCCAGCTGTTCACTTCCAATCCACTTCCCTGATAGTGCACCTGGGATAGCAGTGGAGGATGGCCCAGGTCCTTCTGCCCCTGCACCCATGTGGGAAGCCCACTGGTTTCTGGGTGGCCCGGCTCTGGCCGTTGCAGCCATTTGGGAACAGGGCTGGGATATCTCTCTGTTCCCAT